GGCCACATGGGAATCCCAGCCCGTGAGGGTGCAGAGAGGACCTCAGAGTACAGCAGTGGAGTTGCTCTCGTTTGTACTGGTTTCAGTTTCTAATTTCAAAACCGTGAGGCTCAGAGGCCTAGGAGAATTGTTTCCCATTTTGCTTCGTCTTTCCCCAGGACTTTGCCTGCATTCTTCAGTGAATTCTCACAATGGGTGGTGGAACTTCAGCACGGGAATGAAAATCATTATCCCTATGTTCTAAACAGGAGATTTGCACTGTGGCATATTTCCGTAAATACAGTGCCCAGCATCTGTAGCAAATCATCCCAGCCATGATTTGCTGTTCTGACTTAGACATGTTTCCCAACCAATTTTACTAAATCATAAAAATAACAATATTTATGAGCCTGGTTGCGAGTGCCAGGCATTCTGCAAATCACTATGTATGAATTATCTCATCTAATTCTCATATCATGCCAATGGTTGGGGCAGTCCCCATTTTACGGATGAGAAAAACAAGCCACAGCCCACCTGAGCCCCAGTGGGTCTCTATCCAAGCACAAGCTCTTTACCACCCACATGATATGGCCTCATAAAATGTGAGCAATTTGATGGGCACCCCATGGGCTCTGTCACCACATCTAGCACAAAGGGAGAGCTGCAGCAATCAACCCTGTGAATTCAGGCAAAAGCGGAGGTATTGCTTTTGTAATTGGCGAAACAAGCTCTGCCTTCAGCTCTGCTTTCACCAGGTGAAGTAACCTTGAAGGAATTATTGTTAGGCCTGCAATTATATCCTTTTAGTAAATTGCAGGCATGCTTTACCTTATGTTCATGAAAAACAATTCTATATAAATGAAATTTTTGGAATTTGAATGTAGTAGAGGGTTAAATAAAGAACTCTTCCCAATTTATATTGTGTGAATTTCTAGCTTTTCTTTAACTGTATTCTCAGAATCATAGCTGGAAATAATCAGGAAAGTTTATGTGGCCACAAATGTTCATTGAGAAATGCTGTTTCCTTAAAGCAGATGTCTTTCCTACTTCCCTGGCTACCTTCAGAACTATCCAATCAGGATAATCGTCTTTGTTACCTTGCTTGTGCCTCATGGGGTGAAGTGGTGGACGTTTCTGGGGTTCTTTAAAATACACTCAACCCTTTCAGATCATCTTGGGACACCTCATCATATTTGAGGAATACAGAGATGGTGATCCGTTGGTGCACCCACCTCCTGGAAAGCAGTGGGTCAGGGGAAGGAAGAGACAAGTAGGTCACGTTGCATCTCTGGAAAGCCCACGTGGAGTCTGGGTCAAATTGCTAATATATATATTTTTGAGACAGGGCCTCACCCTGTGAGACTAGGCTGGAGTGCAGTGATGTGATCATGGCTTATTGCAGTATCAATCTCCCTGGGCTCAGGTGATCCTCCTACCTCTGCCTCCTGAATAGCTGGGACCACAGGTGCACACCACCGTGCCCAGCCAATTTTTGTATTTTTTGTAGAAACAGGGTTTCACCACTTTGCCCAAGCTCATCTCAAATTCCTAGGCTCACCTGTGTCTTGGCCTCCCAAAGTGCTGGGATTAGAGGCATGAGCTACTGTGCCAGGCCAACGTTGCTAATTTTATTTAAACTTTCCTACATGTGGGAATCCAGGTAAGATGAAGACACCTTTTTTCTTATTTCCCTTTCTTTTCTTTCTTTCCTTTCTCTTTCCCTCCTTTCTTCTTTCCTTCCTCTTTATTTTTCTCTCTTTCTCTCTTCCTTCCTTTCATTCTTTCATTTTTTCTTTTCTTTCTTGTCTGTCTCACTTTATTGCCCAGGCTAGAGTACAGTGGTATGACACTGCAGCCTTGAACTCCTGGGTAGAAACAACCCTCCCACCTCAGCCTCCCATGTAGCTGGGACTACAGGCATACACCATCATGCCTGGCTGACTTAAAATTTTTTTGAGAAACAAGGTCTCACTGTGTTGCCAGGCTGGTCTTGAACTCCTGGCCTCAAGTGATCCTCCCACTCAGGCCTCCCAAAGCACTGGGATTACAGGTGTGAACCACAACATTCAGCCAAGATAAGGAAATCTGATGCTTTGGCCACATACATGAAGCTCTCTAGAGAAGTTTGGGGATAAGGAAAGGAATCCTGCATGATGACCTCTCAGGAATTAATGTATGGACTTTTACGTAAATATGTATAATAAAAGGTAAAACATAAACACTATGCCGAAGATAATAGAGATGTTCGAAAGATGCAAAAACATTGGGTTGAAAAATGCTTTATGGCAATGGTGGCATCTCAGAGAAGCTTTTTAGGAGGAAAAGGACTTTGTCAGATACCGTTGAAAGTATGTATGGCAAGAGAGCAGAGCAAAGAATCACATGAATGAAGACATGGAACTGGGAATGCCGAATAATATAATTTGAAAACATTGAACAGCTTTGGTTTGGTTAGTCAAATACACATGAGAAGTAGAGCTGAAATATGCCGTAACGGAAAAGGTCCTAAATCCAAGGCCCTGAAGTTTGAATTTAATTGAATTCTCAATGAGAACTCATTAATCATAATAATAGTTTTATCTTCTTTTGTACCTTTCCCCCTTTGTTTTCAGGGGATGAGATGGCCTTGTAAGTTATAGGGACTAGAGGAAACTTAACAAACTTCAAATTTAACTCTTGATCTCATCTGTCTCTTAAAAAAAATAATCCAACAAGATACTTCCCTGCTATTCTCTGTCTCAGTAAATGGCACTCCCAGCAACCCATTGCTCACCCCTTTACCCTTCCATTTGCTTCACCCCTACCTTGACTGAATCAGCAAGACCTATTCATTACATCTGCAAAATATATCCCAGCTCCATCTACTCTCTTGCTCCTTGGATATCACTCTAGCCAAGAGTGCCCTATTTTGAGAAAAGAATGGTAGTGGAAAGGACATACTTGCCATTTGGCCACAGATCCATCTACTTCAAAAGGGGTGAAGGGCAACCTAATAATAGCAGACAAGTTATAAAGTAGCTAATGGAGGGAGGACAAAAAACTTATAAAGAAAGGAAAAAAATTGGAAAAAATGAATGTTTTAAATGATGATTTGATTGGATTTTTCGAATTCATTCTAGTTGTCTCAAGGTAAAGATTTGTATTTTTTGTCAGTTTTTTGTTGTTTTTGAGATGGTGTCTCACTCTGTTGCCCAGGCTGGAATGCAGTGGTGTGATCTTGGTTCACTGTAACCTCTGCCTCCGGGGTTCAAGCGATCCCCCTGCCTCAGCCTCCCAAGTAGCTGGGATTACAGGTGCATGCCACCACACCCAGCTAATTTTTTGTATTTTTAGTAGAGATGGAGATTCACTGCATTAGCCAGGATGGTCTTGATCTCCGGACCTCGTGATCTGCCCGCCTCAGCCTCCCAAAGTGCTGGGATTACAGGTGTGAGCCACCTCACCCGGCCTTGTTTTGTTTTGTTTTGTTTTCAGTAAGTTAAGTCATTTTTAAAAAATTAGTCTTTGCATCCCAATGGACAGGATTTTCTAGATAGGCTTGGAATGGTTGTCAGAATAGCTAATAGCAGATATTCTACATAGCTCTATTAAAAACTCTTAGAAAGAAACCATGTCAATAGAGCCTGAATTTAGGTACTCCTGTCCTGTGATGTACCATCCTTGTATCATGACAAATCCCTAGATACCTCCGAGAATGTAGGTGATTTTGACCTTGACTCAGAAAATGACAAAGCATTCCCTCAAATTGTGCTTTTATTTTTAGCACCACTTTATAGTCCCCAGAGTTGTCTAGTTGCAATTTAGTTGGCAATATTGCAAATGAAAAGTTTCAGATAACTAATTTCAGAGAACAATTAAGTGGCATCTTTTGCATTTTCTGTATTTCTGTACTGACATGCTTATTGTTTTGCCTGCAATAATTGTTCTGAAATGCTAGTTTTAAGTATGCCAAATTATTGGATAGGAATTTGCCAATGTAAATAAAGATCTCCTTCCCAGCCTTCTTCTTCCAAGATGCCTTACCTGTGTGTTTAAATTCTTCTAAGACATGTAGTGTGTATTTCTCTATTTTGTGAACAAGGTGGCATGATATCTTTATGGTGAAATTCCGGTACTTAATTAATAGGCTTTTGAACAAGAACATATCTAATTTTTGGCCGTAGTCAAAAGATAAAAGTAATCATGACTGAGCTCTAGCTTTGTAGAAGCGAAGATTTTCTTTCCCCTGTGTGTGCTGCAACTGGCACAAACACATAGGAACCTTGGGGAGATATCTCTTGCCTGGGTTAACTACCTTTTGTGATGGTGATCTATGAATTAGTGTGGTTTCCATGTAGCCAAATCATAACTATCTAATAAGGTAGGTCATTTTTTAAGTCAAGTCACCTCAGACTTGATTATCAAAAGGTATTCTATTACAAATTTTAGACAGCATATCTGAAGTAAATTGTAAAAAGTATTTCCCACGTGTTAGTAGAGGATTAAAAGGAAGGCGAGATGAATGGGAAGCAGGAAGGACAGACAGGGTTCTCCCTCGGCTTAGTTCTCATGTTGGGGTACATGTGTCACCCTGGCCAAGTTGCTAGTTCTAGACAACTTGGATGCCTGCGAATTTCTGCAGTATCTTTTTCAAGCTCTACTTTTGGAGTATGAATCTGAAGAAGCTCGTGCCCTTAATTCCGTGGGACTAATCCTCAAATAGTTTTTGCCTCTCTTTATCTTTGGGAGAACAGAAGCAGAATATTTTATCTATCCTAGGTCAAGATTTTTCTGGATCTCTAGAAGCAAAATTGAAGGATTATGTATTACCCTGTTCCTCCAGAGAGGTGTGGAATGAACTAATTATTTTTGTTGGCTTATTATTTCTGGTTTTTTTTTCCTCCCTGGAATTTGGACAAACAGTAATTGACAAGGGGTGTGCACAGATGATACCCAAGTGCATAGCACAGTGCCTGGTCCATAGCAGGAGCTGAGCAAATATGTGTTCCTGAGTAAGTCTAATTCTAAATTTCTTTTCACAGCAAGTGAAAAACAGATGGTGGTGGTGTGCAAGGAGTCTCCGAAGGAGTATCTCCAGCCTTTCAAAGACAAACTAGAGGAGTTCTTCCAGAAAGGTAGGAAGCTTTGTCAGCAGCACATACACACAGCCCTGATTTTCCATTCCATGAAGCTTTCTCTGAGGCTCACAGCCCTTGCATCCTGACCACAGGCAGCTCTGGTGATTTCATTAGCCCATCTTCCCATGGTGGTTACATACTCAAAGTAGATGGAGTTGTCCTATAGCTTGTATATCACCTTTCAAATCCATTTTAATGTTTTAAATCCTTTAATGTTACTCTGGCTTTTATAAACTCTCTGAGGACAAACTTTTGTCTCTTCAGGGAGCTTAAGGGATTTCTCAGCCCATGTTGACCGATAAATAATGTATGTGCAAGGTAGATGCAGTCATGTGTTTGCGATTTGTGGTCAGCCTGGACAGGCGGATGGTGATCACCTTCCTGGTTTTATGAGTGTAGCAACTTGGAAACTTCTGTTATATTTTTCATTCCTTTTCGGATAGGAAAGTGAGGGCCAAGTGAATGTCACACATCAATCATTGCTACCCGTCAGCCCTCTGAAGTTAGTCTGTGGAAGTGATATGCATGAGACTCAGCACTTATTGTGAAATCTTAACAGATTTTCTTCCTTCACAGTTTTGGCCTGAGTATGGAACTTTTGTTGATTGGGGTTAGTGAACATGGAAGTATCATATCTTTTAGATAATTCCTATTCTAATTTCTCAAATTCAACTTAAGATGTAAAACAAAAACAAGTGCAGGGTTGTTGAGGCAGCTTTCTTCCTTGCTGGAAAGCTAGAGGAAAGACACACAGGAGTCTTTGGGGATATCTCAACATGCTTTTTCTATTACTGAGTAAGGCCACATGGGACCACACCATCAACAAAAGACTGTTAAGCAGGGTGAATGCATAAAGTGTGGCCAAACCAGCTTGAGAATTGGCAGGGAAATTCTCAGTCTATGAATCCGAGGAACTCCATTCCAGCTGCTACTCCCTTGGTGCAGAGACCATTGCTCCCTTCTCCATGATGAAAGGTTGTCTGTAGTGAAGTAAGAGAAGTCTGATTTCTCTTCCAGCCATTACAGAACCTCACATATGATGGAAGAAATGCTGTCAGGCAAAGAACCATCTAGAGAGCAAAGATATCAATACTTATGTGCTATGTGACTTTAGGAGATGGGTTTTATAAGTGACTTATCAAAAAATACATCATTATACTGTGTAAATGTAACCTAAGTAGCCTGAAGGAAAGCATGGAATACTTCCCTTTGCTGATCCGAGTTAATACTGTTGGCTTTTTACATATGTAGAATTAACTTGAAATGAAGCTCATGTGTACTTGAATTCCATTTTTGTTTTTAATTGCTATTCTATTTCTAGAAATGTTGTTGTCATGTGTATGTCGGGGTACTATCTGCCTACATACTGTAATGGCCTTAGAATCCTGGTTCTGCAAAGCAGCTAGCTTATATTGTGAATTTTATTTTTTTTGTTCAAAAGACATAAATGTGAATAGATTTAAAATCTTGAGAATGTTCTCTGGTACCTTGGAAAAGGAATTTGCAAATCCTCATTTGGGACAATGTGCCAGCCTCTTCTCTACTAGGGCTTTTAAGACAATTCTGGTCTATTCAGAGAAAGGGAATTTATGTGAGGGAAACTGGATCTTCTGTCAGTGGAGCAAGGGTATGGCCACAGTAAGCTATTCTAAGAAAGCCCTAGAACACTGGTTCTCAACTCTATCATATAGTAGAATCACTCGGGAGATTTTTTAAAAATCTTGATACCCAGGCCCAACTCTAGACCCATCGTCAGCATCTCTTGGGGTGAGACCAGGCATCAGATTTTTTTTTTTTTTAATCTCCAGGTAATTCCAGTGTGGAACCCAGATTGATAGCCACTACTGTCTAGCTTAGTTCACCTGTTAATGTGTATTCAAAGATTTATTCTGAGCCTCCTATATGTTAGGCTATGTGATAGACAGAGAGTACTAAGATTAATTGTATGCTCCTACACCCTCTCACAAGGAGTTTCTTAGTGGGAAAATGTCTATAATTTAATACAATCAGCTCGTCTTTAACCGACAGGTGAAGTAAAAGGGACACTGGGAATAACATCAAATTATGCTTAAAACAAAACCAGCCAAAACAAGACACAAAATGAATTTGAAGGAAACATTACCATTCTGTTTAAAAATTAAGAATATAAAAATATATATACTATTGTAGGAATCTTAGACACTCCCAATATCATATGGTACAAAAGTCCACTGTTGAAATAGCCTGTTACAATTATTTCATTACTTAACTCATTTTTTTTTTTTTTGATAAAGAGTCTAGAATGGTGCTGTTCAATGCGGCAGACACTAGCCACAAGTGGCTTTTGAGCAGCTATAATGTGGCTAATGCAAACAGAGATGTGTTACTAGAGTAAAACACACACTGGGTTTTGAAGACTCAGCACAAAAACATGTGTAAAATATTTTATTGCAAATTTTTTATACTGATTGCATGGTAAAGTGATATTTTAGATATATTAAATAAAACATGATTAATATTAATTTGTAGGTAAGTTAATAAATATGCTAATAACCTGACAAAATATATTAGCTAAATTATATTTTTCTTCTACTTTTTGAATGTGGCTACTAGAAAATCTTAATTATATTTGCGGTTCACATTATATTTCTGTCAGAAAGTACTAGTCTAGAGGCATGGTCCATAGGTTTTCCTCAGTTCATGCCTACACTCTCTTCTCATTGTTGCTCAGCCTTCTCAACTTGAATCTTAAGTTTTTGGAATGCAGAGTTTTTCGAGCTAGCCCCCTGCGCACTCCGGGCCTGGCCCTTGTTTGGCTCTCAGGTGGGACTGCTTAACCAAAGGCGGTGACAGCATGCTACTTCATCAGACTATTACCTCTGCAGTTCTGAAATGTATGGTTTAGGGTCCGTGGTGAAGAAATACATTATAATTCACAGCAATATGCTATGATGTACGCGCTGGGTTTTTGCCAAGTTATAGTATATACAAATGGAATATCTTCTCGCTACTATTTAGAGTTCCAAATAGTAGTCCCTCTATTACATAGATATTTCACTGTTTCATAGAAAATGTAGGATTTTCTGTTTACCACAAATATGCACTATTCACCATGGTTAATCAAATTTCTATGACAATTGTCATACAGTTTTAGTATTTCATCTATTATTTATTGTAGGAAATACCATTATTACATGTACTATAGAGAAAGAAAAAGTGCTTCCATAAGCCACAGCATTTAGACAATAAGATGTACCCCAATATCAGAGGCTCTAAAATGTGAAAATTCTATCACTCTTGGAGTTGGTGTAATGTGGTACTGTAATTAGGGACATAGGATCAGAGAGGAAGAATGCCCAACAATTTTAGGTAAGACTTTCAGCAAAGGAGATATTTTTGTTAAGACTTGAAAAAGAGCAAAATAATAATGACGACAGTGATAGTGCTAACTAACATTTACTGAGTGCTTCTATCTGCTAGATACCATGGGGAACAGAGCAACTTATTAGTCACCATGACAATCCTTTGAAGTGAGTACGATTACCACCCTGCTATACAGATGAGGAAATTGAGGATTAGAAATTCTCAGCAGACAGGCTACGAAAGGCATTCCAGGCAGAGGAAAACACTGCAAGTCTCAGAAGGATGAAAGACATGATGTGTTTGGAAATGGCAAGTGACTTAGTGTGGCTAGATCACAAGGCATATGAGAAGAACACATGACCAAAAAGGAGATAAGAGTCATAATATGACTTGCTGAAGAATCTGAACTTTGTCTGACAGGCAGCATCTAACATTGAAAAATAATGTGTACAGGAGTGACATGATTATGTTGGATTTGTTTGTATTGTTTTGGTTTGTGCATTTTTTTTTGGGGGGGGGAGGATGTATCACTTTGCTTTTTGTTATTGCTAAGAAATACATTACAACTAACAGTAATATCAAAAAACAGAAAAGTAACAGATTAGTGAAGAATTTGAGCAGAAGCAATGGCAAAGCTAAGGTAGGAGGGTCACTTGAGACCATGACTTTGAAACCAGCCTGGGCAACAAAGTGGAACCCCATCTCTACAAAAATTAGTTCGATGGCGTGGTGCCTGTAGTTCCAGCTACTTGGGAGGCTGTGGTGGGAGGCTTGCTTGATTGAGCCCAAGGGTTCAAGGCTACAGTGAACTATGAGTACACTGCTGTACTCCAGCCTGAGCAACAGAGCAAGGTGCTGCCTCTAAAACAAAGCAATGGCAGTAAAAGAAAGAAAGAAAGGACGTATTTGTAAACAGTAACGGGCTGTTTTAGGCATTACAGAACAGAATAATTGGATATATAAAATGAAACAAAGGAGAACAGCATAATTCCTTTTTCTTGCTTCGATAATTGGCTGGATGCTGATGAGGAAGACTAGATTTGAGATGGAAATCAGTGAGGTCAACTTTAGACCTGTTAACTTTGTACACATGAGACACAGAGGTAGAGATGCTGGGTTCATGGGAGAGAACGAGATGTGACTCTAACGGTAGCAGTTCAAGTCATAGGAAGAAATGAGATGACCCAAAGAAAAGGGTATAGAATGAGACAAAACCTGAAGTATCAGAGTATCTGAGCACAGGATATCATATAATAAATGTAACTGAGAAAAGACACTTCTGTACTTCTATAGCACAGCATATACAGAGTGTTTTGCAAGAAAGCTAATTCTCTATTAGAATTCTTATCACTCATCAAATTTTAAGCAATTGTGTTCTTTATGCCTCAGAAGTCACATGCGTTGTGACTCAGGATTATTTTTACATAAGCTGCAATTCAGCTCTTAATGATCCTGATGATTTTTCTTTTATAAATCATATCCTGTTGCCACACTCAAATGGAGATGATGTCCTTATCCTTATGTCTTTTATCATTCTTTTCTCAGAATGCCCATATATGGTGTTATTTGACAAAACTGTGGTACTTTTTCTTAATGAATTTCATTTTCTGAGCAGAATTGAAAGTGATTTTAATGGCACACTTGGCAGGGTTGCA